TTCTTTAACAAAGTAACTGTTTGTATGATGAATATTATGAGGTTATATAGAAATATTACTGACCCCCCCATTGTTTGTGGAATGGTCACTGACCTAGTTCATTTGTTTTTTTAACTGATTTTGTTTGATATAAATCGCAGTCAAATAGATTTTGTACTCATTACAGACTGACAAAATAGTCTAAGAGTGAATTCTTACGCCAGTCTTGAGCTCGCGAAAAATTTTATCGAAGAAAAAAACGGTGAAAGATATTATGTAAAAGTACTAAAATTCGCAATTTGAAAGCTAACTAATGCAAAATGTATCATTTTCAAAAACCTAGAAAAAGATTCTATTAAAACTCTGAGAAAATACTCGATGAATGCCGCGATTAAAATTATAATAAACATCCGCGCAGTTCGTTATTCAGTAGCATTCACGTTACACCAGTACAGGCATTACGAGGAAGTATTGTTAGTGTAACGTGATCTCAGGTACTAGTCCATTTCAAACAAAATCTAAATCATGAGGTATTGAGATTTTCTCAAAAAAAACCTTAAATCAGATATGCTGACGCTGATAATGATTCACGTTACATTTATTCGCTACCATTTACAGCTGAAGGAATGAAAGAGTCAACTTTGTCGATCTTTCGATAATTTAAATAACAAATCAAAAAAAAAATTTTCACGCTCAAATGCGGTGATTTTTTTGTTTTGTTCAAAAATAGCGGCCTTTCACGTGCATGAAAAACAGATCAAACTTGCTAACAACTCCTACGACTTGCTAATGTGTTATGAACGTGCCTGTGGCACATGACATTTTTCTTCTCATGTTGCAATTTACCGCCTCGCTGACTTGCCAAGGATATTTCCATTTGACAACGAGTCAGAGGTAGGAAGGAAAAACAGAATTTCTTTGCAGAAGTAAAACCTGAAAGACGAGCTGTTGTTGCAGAATTTATTCTTTTAAGGCAAAACTAACTGTCGCAATGGCAAATATTCATGTTTCACCTTTGGCTTCTCCTTCCTTGGAGTGTTTATCTCCAGCGGAACTGACGAACGAAGAAAGTGGACAAGTAGAGCAAGTGACTCCAAATCAAGACGAAAACGAAAATGATGTATTTAAAGGAGAAACGATGGCATTTGGGAGAAAGAAAGGTTTCTGTAGATTGATTTTAAAAATTTTCCTCGGATTAGCATGGTTGGCAGGGTATTCGAGATTTTGAGTTCAGTTTTAGATTGCAAACAGCTGTGAACGGGACGCGCCTCTAATTTTAAATTGAACAAGACCAGGTCCTACGCTAGCGCCAATCGATGTCTGAAAGATTATACTTCCTACGAATCTCGCGCAAGAACGGACCTTTGATCTTTTGAAAGAGCAGTATAGATGAATATATTTTAGGCTTGGTAGCCTGTTGCTACACGCTCTAAATTAATTCTTCACTTGTTTATAGAAAAACAAAACGTCGGAACTCTAAGCCTTCTACTCTTAGTTACAACATAGACGTTCATTTAATACTTCACTCGCACTCTTAGATTTGATAATCATGAGTAAAGACAGAAATTTGAAAAATTCGGTCGGAAAGTCTCAGAAATATTCGAACAATTCCGTCAATTGTTCGGTTGAAATTTCGAAATCACACAAATCTAGGCTCCTGATTCGTGTTTATCATTGACCTTGCTTGTAATATGACATCTTGTTCTTAATTGGCAGGCCAACTCGAGACACCGTCAGGCACCTTGACCACTTTACGTCTTAGCGCTGGTAGTGAAGACGCCAGTCAGACCAGCAGTCCAAAAAGAAGTCCCGTATATTGTTTCCATTCCTTTACATACGGGGTTAGTGGGTCGAGCGAGACTGGAACTGGCTTGCATGATAGTGGAAAGACATCCGCTGAACTTGATAGTAATGATACTTGCGAGAGTGAAAGCTTTGATGCCGATTCTCCCAATGTCTGGCGCACAAGAATGGTCGTGGATCCGGAGGGGACAGAGTCAGGGTCACCCACAATCCTCCATGGGGGGAACTTCGGAATTGGAGCATGTCCCTCAGACGGTTTGCTAGCAATTTATACTTACCATTCACTAAACTTGAGATAGGTTCAGATTTTTGAATAGCATTTGCTAGTTATAAAGAAGGAATTCCTTACGAAATACAGCTGAATAAGTAATCTAGCTTAAAGAGAACTGAAACTTTCATGCTTGTCTTTCTTCGCAGCCTGTTTTTTTTTTTCTTTCCTGTCCTGGTCAGCCTATCCTCCTTTCCATCTCGTTGTATCTGCATTTCTGGTGCCTTTGTCTGCCTCTGTATTTTTGTTTAACGTTTTTCTACTTCTTTCATAACATGGCCTAAAATTTTTGACATTGACCAACTACTTTTCAAAGTTAGGAGTTTGACTCTGAACCGACGCATAAAACCTTGAAGTGTCTAATTTCTCTCTGATATTCAGAAGCACGCTGGTTATTTACTCCATATTAGGGAATAACTTATGATTGGCCTGTCTTGCACACTGAAAACTAAGCTTCGTGACACTACTGATTGCTTGGAGGTTATATTCTTCCGCTGAGGTATAAATTAAATTTTTTTCAGACTCTGTGTCGTTAGAGGAAAACCAAACCAAACCCTCCGGAGCTTTTCAGGCGGAGATTCACGTCAAACTCCAGAACTCAAACGCTGCCCTCAATACCGACACCAAGGAAGCAACAACTGCACCAAAACTGCTCTCCTCGCCAGACAAAGACCATTCAGGAGAGGCAAATGGAGAAAAAAACTGCGCAAAGCCTCCTGTCACGAGACCGTCACCAGAAGGCGCGGAAAGTTCTGTAGTTAACACCCACCAGACCACAGTTTCCTCACAGAATGGAAATATTACTAGTTGTTTCATGGTTCCTAGCACGCGAGTTATCTCCGATCATCAGTGGAGCGAGATCATAGGAAGCCCATCAGGTGCTATAGACGTAAAGAACTACTGGATGTCAGGCGAAGTCATGCCGGAAGGTAACAAGACTGATGTCATCAAAGTATATTTATAGCAAAGGCTAATGAATGGTAATCAATTCCTTCTCCCTTCAAATCACACACCCTTTGCTGGCCACACATAGTTTAATGAGCAGCTACCCTCTCTAGACCAATTTTTTCATTCTCCTTTGTTTTAACTAGAAAAAGAAGCTGTCGATGACGATCGCGTACCACTGATACGTCGAGAAAAATCTTACATGAGAAACGCAACTGAGATGAGCTCGGATGAGGAGGAGGAGGAAGAAGGAACCTCTGTGACGTGCTTTCCTTGCAGGGAGTGCCATATATTATGAAATTGTGCGGCAGGAGATCTACCTCGCTACAATATGTGAAAAGACTGTTGTGTTTTGAGCAAGTTTAGTGATATAATTAGCAAAGAGAAAACGGAATCCATCTAAGTGAAAGCAACAACTTTAAACTTGAAGAATAGAGACACCCTTCAGTGTAAATTAATTACTTATTGTGGGTCACAGAACAGGTAGGAAAATATAATTAACTGATAAATACGTTGAATAAAGCAATTCGGTTGCGGTGACCTGAGAATCGTTACGCTGTAAACGTTCTTCCCGTTACCTCTCTATCTTCTCCATACTGTTCTCCATACATTTTCTATGATACCAACGAAGAGAATTTGAATTTGTAGGAGCCTCTTCTGTTAACGATCATTTCCGTTATTCCCATGATCTTAATGTTCAGTACAATAGGGAAACTGTCACGAATAATTAGATGCTAATCTCACTTAACCCTGTTTGTTTGTTTGTTTGGTATCCATATTCTCCATACTCTTCTATATGTTTCTTTGGATCAATATCAGTATCTGGGCAACTGCCCACCTACCCCTCCCCTAACCCAACAACAGTCAATAGATAGCAACTTAGGGTTAATGTTGGGTTAGGGGAGGGGTAGGTGGGCAGTTGCCCAGATACTGATATTGATCCGTTTCTTTTTGGTACTCACGAAGAGAATTCATTTATCAATCAAAACTTCTTAGGTTGACGGTCATTTCCTTTATCCTCATGATCTTAGCTTGATCTTAGTGAAAGACTCAGAAGTATTACTGCAGAGATGAGATGCTGGTCGCTCTTAGGGTTTTAAGGGTTAAGGGTTGGAGCAGATGCATTCTGGGGCGTTGCTAACGGCCTGGTTTAATAGGTTACCCACATCAAACACGCAGCAAATCACTCGAGCTCACCACATGAAACTTCAGCAAAATTTCTCCACTCAATGCATTAACAATTTAACTCCTAGGTCAAATTTGAAATTCTCCTTACTGTCAACCATAAAATTCTTATGTTTGTTCAGAGAATTTAGTACTGGATCAAATAATTATCCCCAAATTGATTTTGTCTTTATTCTCATCACTGACCTGATATTTAATTGATATTGTAAGGAGAAATTCTGTCTTAGTCACTCGTGGGAGTTAAAGGGTCAAAGAAACCAATCAAAACAATATCGAGGCAATCCCTATCATCATCTGAAAGTCTGAAATAGCTAAAACGACAAGACAACCGAGAATTAAACGTGGGATAGTAGATTCTGCCTATGCCAGAAGCGCAATTATAACGGCGTAAACTATTGCATTTCTAAAAAAATAAATTTTATTACTTTTTTCAAGTTTACAAAAATATTCTGAAAACAAAGCAGTACTCTAATATCTTAATTACCCCACTACATAAAATCACTAAAGCACTTCCCTTGCGGGAAAATTTTAAAATTCCTTCAACTCTTCGACAGTCTGTCTCTGATAACTGACTGAACCCCCGGATTTTTTCCGATTGCATTACATCAAAAAATGTTAATAAAGTGCTTCAGTTGCTGCACTGACAACATGCGCGTTTGTTTGCTTTAAATATTTCGGACGTGGCCCTTGGGTTAGCGTGAGAGATGCAGTCGGGGAGGGGTGGGGAACAAGCATATTAAAAACTTATTCTTTACCAACGGTATACCATAAATAGCACTCTCTCCTGACTAAAAGTACGCAGATTCGGAGAAACCTCAGAATGTTGACACCCTTAAAGAGGAGAGCAAACTGGTTCAATGCGAATTAAAGTCTTAAAAATTCGCGAAAATCGTGAATTCAGGGACATCTTTCTTGAACTATCGGAACACAAGAAACTGGGAAGTCCCCGCATAACTGTTAGCGAGTCGCTTGCCATCTGGTGTAGGATCAGAAAACGCTACCAGCTCTCTAGGAATAATGCAGCCATAAATAAAGTTTGTTCTAAGGGAGATAAAAAAGAGAACTCGATGAGAACTCAACGTTATAGCAGCAAAACAATCTAAAGCGCGGAAAAACGCAGGCGACCAAGTCGTGATTAGTTTAAGCTGACACCTGATTGGTTGACAGGATGGCGCGAATTTTCTAGCCCAATCACGGAGCGTAAGGCGGTAAAACCAATGCCATCCCAGATCACTTTTGACACTAGGTTGGAAATTACTCTACGAACCGATTTTGATAGGGAGCAATCCCCTAGTTCTCACCTTACACAGTCCAATAATCTCGTGGCCACTTTCTTCCTTCTGTACTGACTGTGAACCCATATCCTGCTGATACCGCACTGTGCTGACTGAGGGGTGGTACTTTCGAGAAAACAAACAAACAAAAAAAATACACGTGTTGATGTGCAAAACAACTTCATGATAAAATTCATTCAAGTGGCAGGTATCACTGATTTCAAAAATAATGCTAAAAGATTCAAAAGGAAATTCCATCGTGATAATTTATAACAAAATATGTTACATGAAAGGACCCTGAAATTATATATATTTATAGTTGGACTACACTGCAATTCTGAGAATAAGAAAGATGAAGCCAGTCCTGTTCTCTGATGAGCTCCTTATGCTGACTTTTGGCTATCACATAATAAAGAGCAATGATTGAGAAACCTACAAAAAATTTATTTCTAATAAGTTGTCGCCAAGTTTCTTGGACCTGATTGTACACAAAATTCAATAGCAAAGCAGTGCTTTTCATGCCAGGATCTAAAATCATCACATGGAGCTGAGACACAATTAAAAATATCAATATCTTTTTCTTATTTGTACCCCATTTTCAAAATGAACATGAAAAGTTGGACTGGATCATGATCCATTTTCAATCATGGACTAGAGCTCAAGCCTAAGTCTCTAACAACAATAAAATCATTAACATGCTGACAGGCTGAATATCACTTGATACCTGCAACACCAGGCTGCAATCTGTTTTTCTGGGGTAGAAGATTCTCCAGGTGATGGTAACACAGGATAGCCCTGAGGAAAAGACATTTATTGAGACATATCTTTGCATGTTGAATCACAAGGTAGAAATGCAGCTGGAAAGAAAAATGAAAATTCTCATCATACTGTAAGTTCATACCTGATCAATCTGAATTGCAACAGCACATCCAATGACTTTTTTTCTTGTTATGAAAAGAAAAATCTGTAAACAAGACCATAGGACATTTTAATTCCTAACTGTGTTGAATGTAGGCAACAATCAAACTGGCCCCTTATCTGTCAGCCAGGATATCAGATTATTAAGAGATTTAGGGCCCATTATTTAAATGAATTTTAGCTATGGTTTAACAAAACCATATTCTAAACTATCTTGAATTTAGTTAAATCTTTTTTCTGAACATTTGTTTTTGTGAACAGTGTCAAGAAGGTCTAAAGCTAGCAGTGGAAGGCCATTAATTTACTGAAAACAACCCTCCTACAGAGATTACATGAGGCCCTCTGATTGCATAAAACAGCAGTTTGGGTAAGACCTCATGTAAATAACTGGCCCTTACATGTCCTCCCCTGAAGTCAAGGTTGAATATCTGAATCTATAAGAATCCTATGTATATGTACATTGAGTTTCGTAATTAGTCTTAATCCTTTCTCTGAGAGAAAACCAGTATTTCAAATACCACATTACCTTAATTAATTCACTTGTAAATATCCTAGAATTATAGCCAATAACCAAAAATTATCTCTTAGCTTTAATTTATTCTTTAGAAAATTGCTGGTAAGTTCAAACAGCACAAAGAGCTTCACAGTTTTAAAGCTTATCTTTTTTATGATTGACTAACTGATTTGCCATTAAATCCACATTAATTTGTGATACACACTTTTTTTTTACATGAAGAGAAAGACAGGATGGCCAGGAACTTGATCATATACCCTTCCTGACTGCAGCAGTAATTGATTATCACTAACCTTAGCTCCAGATCTTCTATAAGGTACATCTGCTACAAAGCCTAACTCACTGTCAACAACTTTGCGGACCTCTTCAATCTAAAATTTTACAGCAAAGTTTAAAAACTCATCAGGAATTTAATGAATATTTTTAAGAATTAGTGGTTTGTCCTTTCACTCCCAGAAGTGATTAAAAAAAAGGAAAAACTCCTTGGAAAATTAACACATTTTCTAGGATAAATGTGACAAGAAGAAAGAAAAATAACAGCTTAGGGGGTACTTCTTTAGCCAACAAGGGTCTGGGGTTATGTAGTTCATCAAACCTTTTTGAGGTGGAGGCGCGGGTCATCTGGGCCAACCATAATTACTCTGCCATCATGGTACTCTTTCACTACACACTCATTCTTCCAGCCCTGACAAATAAAATAAAAGACATCATCAGATTTTAAAAACTAGATAACAGACATACCCTACTCACTTAAAACCAAAGTGATAATAAGTTTCGTGGTGAATTTGCACCCTTTAATAATGGTTAACCTCTCTTTTGAGACCTATTTGGGTGCCATCTCCTTCAAGAAACAAATTTTGGTCCTGAATAAAACTTTCTCTTGCTCATTGAAGCCAACTCACGGCTGAAGAAAACCTCTGCCTCTACTGACAATGTGCACTTGTCACAAAATGGTATCAGAAATACTAAAAAAGATTTTATTAACATTAGAAACTCCATTTCTTTATTCTTGGAGATGTGAATGTTTCAAGTGAGGTAGATTCTATGTAACAGCATGTACAGCTTAACCAGTCATTGGAGTTAAACGTTGCTAAGATCCAATCTTCTATTTCAAGTGCATTTACAGCTGTATATAACTTACAGTAAATTTCAGTCCATTGACAAAGCTCTTGTGATGTCTAATGTGAGCAGCTTCATCATCAGGCTGGGCTCTGGTATATACCATACCACAGGTAGGGCAAGTAACATGTCCAAAGTCTTTTTGGCCCAAGTCCTGACAACAACAACAAAAATAACAACAACAACAACGATGACAACAACAACAAAAGTAAAATAGAGTGAAAAAAGGTTGCAGTTTTAGGTTTCATAAAATGTAGACATTACTGAAGTCAATTTTCATGTGGATTGTTCAAGCACATGTGGTTGACCTCATTGCTAAATGAAGGTTAGCAGTATACAGTTGAAACATCATGATCCCTATACTCATCCTAAAAAAAACAAGGATATTTCAAGGCAAAATAGAAGACTTAAATACATTATCCAGAGACTACAATACCTGACATGAACAAGTCTCCATTCAAAGCAAGTGATTTTTAGTGTCTGAACTGGAGGTGAGATCTATCTTTATGAAACCACAGTGTTGTATTGAAACAAACCATTTGCAACTTACCAAATACATTTGTTCTTGCTTTTTTCCAGACTTTTTCTTTCCTAGAGTGATTCTAAAACAATTTGCAAAACATATTTCATAATAGTAAATATTGAGCCATTCCAAAACTAAGCATGCTTCTTTATAGAACCATTCAGCGCAAGTTTTCTGAATAAGCCCACACTTCATCATGGATACAGTTCTTTGATAAACCAAAATCATGTTAGGAATGATAGGTTACCTTTGGGACTAAGGCTTTGTTTTAGAAAAAAGAGGGGCCACACAGAAATATTTCCCTATTGAGTAGCAGCATCAAATACACTGTCCATAGCCATTGACTAGTGAAGCATATATCTGAAGCTGAAAGCTTATAATTGTAGACATCATGCAGATTTTCTGAAACACATACAGTAGGCTAGTCTCTCCATGATACATAGACATACAGCCTCAAACCCAACCTGTTTTTGCTCTCCAGTGAATTTTCTGCAGATGAGTGTCCAGTTGATGAAGAAGGAATCCCATTTGCAACTGTCTTTGTTTTGCACTTTGGACCTGGTAATGATCTGAAATATCTCATAATGGAAGCTTGATGCTCAGGAGAACTTTTGGATGAGCTGGATTCATCTTCCTTGCCTGACAATTGTGGTGTAAAAACACTTTCAGCAGCATCTGGAGATGATGTTGAAAGTGAAACACTTGACCTCGAGTCACTTACATTTTCATTGCAATCCAACAGTGTCACCTCTACCCTTTCATTTTGTTCAGTACAAGTCTGGTGAGAGTTTATTGTGTGATGTGTTATTGCAATTCCTTCTTCTTCTTCGCCAGTGCTCTCACTAGATGGTGTTAATTGTACTGGTGATACATTGCTTGAACTAGAGAAGTAGTATTCATTTCCATTTTTCTGTAAGCAAAAGCCATCCAAGACTGTGCCAGGTCCACTGCAAAGACTTGTCTCCGAACAAGTAGATTCAACTTCACTTATAACTGATTTTGCTACATCTATATTTGATTTTGGCTTCCTGCAAATAGGAACAATTCCACTTTCTTCTGAATCATAATCTGATGGTGGTGTTACAACACCTTCATGGCTACCTTTGATTTCTTTAACAGTTTTCATTACCAATTCATAGGGTTCTTTTTGGCTCTTGCTTCGAATATCCTTATGATCAATATCAACAAGAACATCCTTGTCATTAACATCTGAGTTCAATTTGTCTTTATTGGTCATATTTTTGTGCTGTTTAGTACCACTAGTAGTTCTGCGCTTTTTACTACCTTTTTTTGAACTTCTTTCACTCTTCAATTTTCTCTTGACTCCACACAAGTTATTCATTGGCAAGTCTTCATTTTCTTTCGACAAGTTTTTTTCACTGTTTAGACCAAATAACTTCATATTTGGAGTGAAATTTTTGCTCCTTGATCCATAAAAGCCAAGTGGGGTGAAGCCATTTGATTGCAATTGCAAAATCTCACTGGTTCTAATTTCTTCTGATCCATTGTAGTCCTGGTTGTTAGTAATTGTCTGAGATGTTGCATCATTTTGTATGTGAAGACAATTTAGGTCTTCCTCAGGTGACTGAGATCTCTCATTATTGGATGGCCCTTCAGTTTTAGAAGCAAACATCTCACAGTCAATGTCTGTGATCAGATCAGATGGGATTAGCCCAACTGTCACTTTCTGTGCTATAACTTTCAGTCTACAAAAAGTAAACAGACCTAAAATTAATAAGAATGTGAGTAAACAAATAAGAAACTGTAAAATAAATGCAACTGGGGAGATATTTACTTACAGGGCAAACGGAATATGGAAAGATTTATCTTTGACCCCATACTCTTCTGAAACAAAGCTGTAGACCCAAAGGCATACTATTGACCCTGGCAACGCTTTCTTTTATCCAGAAACTGTAGGCATAGTGAAGCAAGAAGTTGTATTGAACGTGTATACTGTCTAGATAACTAAATAAACCCTCATCATTCGTTCTTCAGCAAACGATATACTATACACAGTTCACAAAATATCTCCATAATGACTTTGATAATCAATCGGTGCAAGGAAAAAATCGGATTTATAGAACTATATATTGCTAATCGGATTTATGTAATTCGAAACTCGGTTAATGATAGACTTCAAACATCACGGCATGTGTGCAGCAAAACACCTACCTCTCGGTTTGACTGATTTGTCTGATATTCCTACCAAACATCGCAGGTTTTCTTGAAGAAGCCGAAATCTTCCCTTTGGCCATTGCAAGGTTTCATTCGTCCGGACGGTGGGAAGTTCGAAATAGAAATGACGAAGAGATTTTAAGGAATTATGCTACAGTGACAATGATCTCAAATCGATGGCCTGACATTTGTTTCTTCTGAGAAAGAACCAAAGTTCTCCTTTTATAATTAACTTGACAATGGTACCAATTCTCTGGAAGCCGAACAAGTCATTCAAACAGGGCATTGCATTTCCTGTCATCCGCCATTTTGTCGCTTTTCGAACAGGGCATGAATTTTCGCGCGCAATAAGCTCGTAGGGAGTTATGGGTTGTTGAACAGCTGGGCATCCAGGCCTGTTTGGAAGAGAGGGAAAGGATTAATCTCTGATTTCCGAAATTATGACATTCCTGTGGGAAATGTACCGTAGTAATGAACAGCATGGTGTATGTTGTTTTCCTTATGAAAGAGAAAAAGTACCATTTCGTACACTTTTCCCTCAGATGATAACATCCATCAATTTCAAAACACAGAAATGTCAGGAGCGAGGAATACAATCATCAGCTTATAATCAGAGCTGTGGATATTACGACAGACGAGAGGAGAACTTGTGGTGAGGAGGTGAGGCACGCTAACTAAGAGAGTACTAATTGAATATGTAAGACTTCTTCCTCCTTCATACAATGATGTAGACCCTGTATGTATCTGCCTCTGAGGGAGAGGGCGATTAAAAATCTTTGTACAGAAAAACAGCAACAACAAAAACTGTCATAGCAATGAACAAAACGCGAACCTAATACTCTGCTATAAAGTCAAGAGAATTCACGAGATGATAGATATAATACTGTAACATGTCACTTTGGGATTCTGCTGAAGCCAAATTAATTGGCGAATATTTCGTTGGTAAGAGTAAAATCAAAGTACTGTTTAGGTTTTTACTTTTTTTTTCTTTTCCTTTTTACTTTTCGAAAGAAAATGCTTCATTAAGTCAAAATCTAAGTCTATATCAAGTCGGAACGAAAGGAAGAAGATGATCCCCACAAACAGGCATAATCTTATACTTTCATAATCTTTCTGGCGAGCTACGGGATTCCCTTTAAGCGGAGGAATGATTTTAAGCTCCTTGGACGTTATTAAGACTGTTTGGAGTCGCCTATCTTAGAGAAAGGTATATCCGTGTTTCTTAGCCTGATAATCCCAGTTTGAAAGTTACGAGGTACAGATTAAAAAAAATAAAAATGATGGAAACGAAAGCCAAGTCTGACAAATCCTTGATCGAGTAGAAGATCTTTATTTGTCTTTTTGCTTGATAGCTTAAGGAATTACTTACAAATAGTCACGTCAGTGGCTTGTGAAAGAAAGGCCATAAAAGGTAGACATGGTTTGTTCACCAATGTTGTCGTTAACAATCATCCGCTTTTACTGATAATGTATTTAGGAAAAAACCTGACGCTTAAGTAGAATCCCTTAACCTTTTTATGATCAGCGAAAAATAATCTGTTATACAAGATAACGTCAAAGATGAAAATAAAAATCTTCCTCAAACGAAAATTAATGAAATTAACACTGTAAACGATTGGAAACGATTTGGGAGTTGCAGCACTTTTGAGTGTGAGGAACGTACAAGACATTACCACAAAAGAGCCTGTAACAGGGAAGTTGGTGATTAATTATTTGACCAAAACAACATTTTTGTGTCGTTGGATCGAAAGAAACGCCCCCACACCGGGAAGGAATCGGAAATGGGGAGCATGGTGCATTTTTGGGAAGAACTCGATAATGACAACATTGCTGAGTGTGAGGAACGTAGAAAGCTTGTCCACATGGCAGTCGGGTACAGAAGGCTTGGATGGGTACTTTCTGCCCAAAGCAACAGCTCTCAATCTGTGGATTGTATGGAAGGCCTCCACACTTGTTTGGAAGTGGTGATCCTGAGCAAGGTACGGTCCTGGGAATAACTTGAGCATTGCAACATTGCTGAGTATGAGGGACATAGAGAGACTGGCCACAGGGTAATCGGTTACATGGAACATGGTGAGACACTATCTGACCAAAGCAACATCTGTGGGTCCGGGGATTGTAGAAAAAACCACCACATCGGAACGGGGTCGGAAATGGCGTGCATGGAATGGTTTTTGGAATAACTTGACCACGGCAACAACGTTGGCTATAGGGGACGTATAGGGCTTGTCTGCAAGGTAGTCTGGTACAAGGAGCATGAATGGGAAGTATCTGGTTGAAACAACATTTGTGGGTCAGTGAGTTGAAAGCGAAGCCACCACACTGAGGAGACACAGGAGATGGAACACAAGGTACAGCTCTTGGAATGATTTTAGAACTGCAGCATTGTTGAGTATGAGATACATACAAGGCCTGTCCGCAAGGAAGTCTTGTACAAGGAACATGGAAGGGTATAATTTGCCCAAAGCAACATTTATGAGTGTTTAGATCGTAAGCAAAGCCACCACATTGGAATGAGGTCGGGAATTGCGGACAAGGCACAGCTCTAGGGATGACTCGAGAATGGCAGCATTGTTGAGTATAAGGAAGATAGGAAGCCTGTCCACAAGATAGTCTGGTACAGGGAAGTTGGTACGGTACGATTTGGCCAAAACAACACTTGTGGGTCTGAGGATCGTAGGCAAAGCCACCACATTGAAGGGGCACCGGGGATGGAATGCAAGGCACAGCTTTTGGGATGACTTTAGAATTGCAGCATTGTTGAGTATGAGAGACATACAAGGCCTGTCCGCAAGGAAGTCTTGTGCAAGGAACATGGAAGGGTACAATTTGCCCAAAGCAACATCTATGAGTCTGTGGAGCGTAGGAAAAACCGCCACATTGAAATGAGGTCGGGAGTTGAGGACAAGGTACAGCTTTAGGGATGACTCGTAAGTGGCAGCACTGTTGAGTGTAGGGAACGTAGTATGCTCGTCTGCAAGGTAGCCTGATACAGGGGACATGGATCGGCAGAATTTGGTTGAAGCAACATTTGTGTGTGTTTTGATTATAGTAAAAGCTACCACATCGAGCCGACGTCGTGGGCGGTTTACACGGTGTACTCTTTGGAATGACTTGACCGTTGCAACATTGCTGAGTGTGAGAAACGTAGGCGGATTGTTTACAGGGCAATCTTGAACAAGGAACTTGAATTGGTATTATTTGACCAAAGCAACATTTGTGACTCTGTGAATTGTAGGGAAGTTGGCCACACTGTTGAGACTGAGGTATACACTTCGAAGTCTTGGGAATTACTTGACCATTGCAGCATTGTTGATTGAAAGAAAGATAAGGTATTTTTGCGCACCTCAGCCTGATGCACCTCACTCCGAATGGAATCAGTTGTTTAAAGCAACACCTTTGTTTGAAGCGGTTGTATGCATGACCTCCACATTTACGGAGAAATATTCGCGACCTTTTCATGTCATTTGGAATCTCGCCTGTTTGAGATAACAAAAGATCTTTCATCATTTAAACGAAAATACACAGTTCGGATCTACGTTTACCTTAAGAACTTGGTGATCCAAGCTTCAAAATAGAGTGAAGTTTGAACAGGTCAACTCTGAAAATCATATGAGCTTTAAATGGGTGCATGAATTAAACCTTTACACCCTAACACCAGTATTCATGTTATCCATACTGTTCTCTAAACATTTCCTAAGGTGCTGACAAGGAGAATTTGTCCAGCAATCAAGAGCTTCTCTATTTGGTGATCAGTTCCTTTATTCTCCTGACCTTAATGTTTGATTCAGGGGCGATGTGGTAAGGAGAAATTAGATGCCGGTCACTCAAGGGGTTAAAGGGTTAAGTAACCATAGGAGTTGTACTATGTACGGGAACTTTAATAAACTAGTTATGGAGATGCAATGACCCCTTTGATTCTGGAAAAGACTAACCAAGCGGAATTATGCGTTGAGAACAGGCTCGATTGCAAAAAAATATATATTTGATGAATTGATCATACTGCTCAATTGAAAAACAATCATTAAAGGGAGTCATGAACGAAACTTTACCTTCATCATCAAAGCTGTCCTCTGTTTTTTCCGGAAGGTCTTCCACTCCGTTATAATCTTCGCTTACTTCTACTGAAACAGAGAAAAGAATTAATATATCCTTTAAACAAATACACTGTTATCTAGTAAGTTTTGGTTTCATTAACTAGCTGTGATAATTTAACAGCCATTTTAAAACCTTACATTACAAAACCTTGCTAATTTTACAGGGAAAAAATCCTTTAGTGTCTTGCTGATGAACATAATTTCTTACCATCTTCATGGTTTTCTTCGTCGGTGATGTCTTCACTTTCCTGTTGGGGACTTTCGTCTTCTTTATTTTCGTTGGGTCCTAAAAGGATGACATTTTGTTAATTTCACGTTTTGGCTTTTTTATTCGCATGTAAATGCTACCTTTGCCAGCTAAATCTCAGTGCCAAAAAATATATATTTGTTGAATTGATCACACTGCTCAATTGAAAAGCAATCATTAAAGGAAGTCATGAATGAAACCTTACCTTCATCATCAAAGCTGTCCTCCGTTTTTTCCGGAAAGTCTTCCTCTCCGTTATAATCTTCGCTTACTTCTACTGAAACAGAGAAAATAATTGATTTATCTTTTAAATAAATACACTGTTATCTAGTAATTTTGTCGAAAAGTTTACATTTACAACAGTCAGTGTTTATGAACATACAACATAGTCGGGAGTTATAAATAAGGAGCGAATCAACCGCGAAATTTGTGAAACATCGATTGACTCTTTAGACAAACTAAAGAAAATAGTTGTAGACATCGTTGGTATTCGTCTAGCGCAGAAACTCCTCCTTGTAATAAATCTATTACAACAGAGTAGCAAGCTCCAGGATCCCTTCAACCTCAGGGTAGTCGTCGCCGAACCAAAACGATCAGTGCAATGCAGATAGTGATCAATCCGTACTATTTGCTTCTAAATTCTTAACTCCGAAATAAGTCTTAAGGGGTCGTGATTTGCAAGGGTAATTTCGATTTTAAACGAAAAAAACTTGCAAATTTTTAAATTACCTAGCTGTGATAATTTAACAGCTATTTCAAAACATTACATCACAAAACCTTACTAATTTTACAGAGAAAGAATCCTTTAGTGTCTTGCTGATGGACATAATTTCTTACCAGCTTCATGGTTTTCTTCGTCAGTGATGTCTTCACTTTCCTGTTGGGGACTTGCATCTTCTTTGTTTTCGTTGGGTCCTAAAAGGATGACATTTTGTTAATTTCACGTTTTGGCTTTTTTATTCGCATATAAATGCTACCTTTGCCAGCTAAATCTCATTGCATTACCCTCACTAACAGCATCACTCACACAGCTCGCAGTCAGATAAAGAGCTCATTTTGAGGAACAGTTTTGTCTCCACAGAGAAGAAAAAATAACTTTTAAAAATTCAAGGAAAAGGTAACAGCGTTTTATCTTTGCTAACAAGGTTTCTTAGGGATTATTCACTCGACGCAGGTACGATTACAGCAGCTAACAAATCGCAAGGAAAATCAGGATGAGAAAAGTATAGAACGACACGTGAATCAACCACGATTTAGGTCTGACTTACCACCTTGCATCTCATTTGAATGAGATAAAGCTTCGTCTTCATGGACCTCTTGGTCGTTTGTTTGAAGTTCTTCGCTGGATAAAATCTTCTCTTCGGCATTTGCCAACAACAGTGGAGAAAGCGCAAGAATTAAAACTGTGATTCCACACAGAATACGGGCCATTTTTAGTCAATAACACTAAGTTCAGATAACTAATGTCAGAAAAGAAAAAAACCACTCCCTTATATACTGTCCTCGTCCTCTTAATATACGCTGACCATGCTGAAAAAAGAAATCAGAACTTTTATATTTACATGCATGTATTGCCCTTAGTGGCTTGATGTTGAGAATACATACCAACAGATTAAAAAAGGAGCGAAATTATTTTTACCTGAGGTACTAAATTAATATCACGATACGTGATTACTGCAGGTTTCTCTTTAAAGCACCTCTTTATCGTTTACATAGATTTTCAGGTCGTTTATTGTTTATGTTTGGCTTCTCTACAATTTTATATCATCACCTAATTAGAGGTGTGCGTTCAACGACAAATTTAGCACCAGTTGACCGGAATAAGTTGAACATTTCATTTAGAACTTTAAAACACCAGCGATAACTTTCCGCCCCTTAATAATACGATACCAAACTTTTGTCAGGATTTCCTCAGCTTGTTAGTGATATAGTCAACAGAAGTGATTTGCGTGACGATGTGTAAGTACATTTTTACAGGGGGGGGGGAAAACAACTGAATGCTTTGTTTGAATCATAGGACTAAAAAGAGAAAACGTAGTTAAAGACAAGGATAAAAAATCTGAAAAACATCGCGGTGGAATTAAAGTGCGTGACAAAAACTAAAGATGGAAATATCTTTTGTAACGAGTTTAAGAGAAAAAGATCGGAAGACAAAAGAATACTTTTTCAGCTTTTAAACATTTTGGGATTTCAAAGGTCCCAGCGTCATAAGATATTGGAAGTATCATAGGTAATATCTATATATGTAATCCGTCAAACAAGACTGAAACAAGCTGAAAGGAGAACCCTGTGCAAGCATATAAACTCACTTATGCAGTCTCGCCAAATACGTCAGAGTCGAGAATATTCTGACGAAAACCGAAGAAAACCTCAACATTCCAAAAAGTGTCTGCGACCGCAACTGCATGGTGCTCAGTCAAAAAGAAGATGTACAAACCCCTTTTTTTAATCAGATTTCAATAGGAAAACCTACGAGGACAATTGCCACCATAGATCAATTAAGAATTTCCCAAGAAAGGGGGTACAACTGAGCATGGTTTACTTCTAGCTACAGGCAGATCTATTTAAATCTGAAAGTCACGTTTTCAATCACTCATCAATTTTGATGAGTACCCTTATTCTCAATTTGCGTCAACAATAATATAGCAATAATTTCACACTTGAGAGGACTTAAATTCGAGATACGAAGAAATTATCAATATTCGTTTCGAGTCGGAGTGAAGTCATCATAGTTCTTGCAAAATTTTTTAAAGATCAAACACTCAACTGAGTTTATAAAAAGATCCACTTTCACAGCCTGAAGACGAAATCAGGGGCACTACATTTTTTGTATGTCAGTATGTTTAATCTTAAGTTCAAGTTCACTTTGATCTATCAGCTGAGTCAATAGTGTAAATTGGCCACCCTCAAGAGCTTTTAAAACTGACGTTTCGAGCGTTAGCTCTTCGTCAGAGCGAATTTCAGGTTCACTGATAAGCTTAGACGTCTCTTATTGATATTTCAAACTAAAGCTAAAATCGAACTCCACAAATTGGTAAACTAGCATAAACACTTCAAGTTTTATGGCTTGTTTAGCTTCATCTTACCTATTTCGAGCTGAATGTTGCGTATTTCAACTTGATATTTGATGGATACTCCAAATGAAATGCGTCACCGATGTTGAAAACAATATTTAATGTATTAGTGAGCCCTCCTCGATCTCATGTCTTAGCCGAGGTGGTTCTTTCAGAAGCAGAATATTACTCACATTCTGAAAGCCACCTAAGAAATATAACACTATACAGTGCAGAAGCACCCGTGAAATTTTCTTTAAAATGACTTTGGTACAAGTTTATTTCCTATTTTTCAAAATGTAGTTATGATGGCAACAGAAACACTCATTTTCTACTGATACACCCGATTTTCTACTAAGGGTCCGTTCTGACACAGAAAACATTATGTTAACCAATTAAATCAATATTGTGAGCAATACGGTTCAGCCTCGCTCGACAAAAACGAGATAGCAGTGTATATTGTAGAAACGTCCGCGATCAAGATAGATGTAACAGGACTTTATACAATGGAATTAAATGGGTAGCTTCATCCTTAGGATGGATAGGGGGGAAACCCCAAAGATGGAACAAATTGTCGTTGAATCATCAAAACTGATCCTTAAACATAACAAATTTTGGAATGAATGGAAATGCAGAATTAACCCTTTAACCTCTGAGAGTGGCTAACATCTAATTTCTCCCCAAAAAATCCCACCTGAATCAAACGTTAAGGTTACAAGAATAAAGGAAATGATCACCAACTTAAAAAGCACTTATTTGTTAAACAAATTCTCCTTTTCAGCACCCTAGGAAATGTACAAAGAACAGTATGGAGAATATTCGTGCTGATGTCAGGGTTTAAAAGGTTAAGTGTAAGAAGGAATTGAAATATATAGGGTCTATTTTAAAATACGCGTTTTCTGTGCATAGCCAAGTTTGATCGTGTGACGCTCTACGGTTTGGCTGCTGGATATTATGAGGCTCCTGCGAACAAAAGAGCTATTTTTCGATGATATCGTGGCATCCACTTGAAATTGTACAATCCTTACTTTGAGCCCACCGATTATTCAAATATCACTACCGTTTGCATCGGTTTCTGGTTCAGTTATGAGCGTTTTTTGTTGTTATTTAACATGTGTTGTAACGAATCGTCATAATTCTAGACATTCTCCAGTCATCAGTTTAGTGACACCTTGTTCCACCATCGGAGGTTTCCTTCAACAAGATTCCATGTTTCAAAACTTTCACTCCTCCCCTGTCAGGCGCAGCTGATTAAACCACACAACTATGAAACTCCTCTGAGGTTTTCATCAAAATGACTCGAGAACGATCAGTTTGTTTTATTTTTGGTAAACTGCTCATCGAGACAAAAGCTGTTTAAATTGGATGTGTCAGTCATCTCTAATGATGAATACTTGATATAGTCTCAATATTGATGTGAATTTCATTTATTGTTTCTTTAGCGAATGTATGATACTTGTAAACTAGTTAGTGAGATGGGGCAGTCCTTGACCTTTCCGTTTTTCTTCACTTCACCTGTATTGCCAGTTCATTGTCATTGTTGATGGATCCTGTATCATAAATTGGGAAGCTTCTTTTTATGTACTTCTTAAAAATAGACGTTGCATGTTGAAACTCCCCCAAAGACCAGTTCAATTCATACCAGCCTTACACGGCTACTAAACAACTCAGTAAGGGATAAGTTTCCACTGTCATACTCTCCCACCATTACGTCGGTGGGAGAGTATAACAGAATAATTTGGTATTATCAACTGAGTTGATAACGTAAATTGGGCACTGTTAACAGTTTCGAAACTGACGTTTCGAGCGTCAGCCTTTTGTCAGAGCGAATGAATTAATAAAAGAATTACTGAACAATTACCAAACAAATTACTAGACAACTCGGTTGAACAATTTTCTTCTGCTTCTCGATTGAGAGTGTCCTCCTGCTAATGGGGACTTCACGAAATTGGATTAGCGCCACAGACGTTGATTTGAGTTCAGTGAGAACAATCAGAGAAATAGGAGAATGCAAATGCAGTCATAAGAATATCGCAACGAGAGATGTTTAAATTTTTTGAACTGATATGTCCAGAATGTATATGATACAGAAAACTCGAGGAAAGAGGCAGAAAATTTAACAACTGAATTTTGAAATAACTTCTGTCTACTCCTTACTCTATATAATACTATAGGTAGAACCTTCAAGGGTAATTCAAAAAGTTCGATTCAGTCATCAGAAACGAGAACAAAGAACCATATGTGAGAAAAATATGGTATTCACCGTGCATCTATTCACGAAGGGTTCATTTTCATCAAATTTACCCACAATACGAGGAAATCGGGTTAAAATGGAACTTCTATAGTTTGCTGCTGTAAAACAGCTCAATATTGAGGACTACAGTAATGTCAGCCAGTATGATTTACCATGAACCATATAGCCTGCGTTGCCGGCGGTCTACGATTTTGGGGGCAGTTTTCATTTTTCTCTCCGCCCCCAAAATCGCAGATCGCCAGCAACGCAGGCTATGAACCATATACACATAGTTTCCGATGCATAAAGGGTAAAACTGTACAGAAATTTACCGAAACGAAGCAAAAATGGGTTCAAGTTTGAGGAAGGATCAAGTTACCCAGGCTGCGAGTTACCGAGGATAAAATTATAGAAAATGTTTGACGAAAATCCCTGGAGTTCAATTTTGGCTTTAGTTAGCGCAAGGTTTGAGACAGAAAGTGTTCGAGTTGTCAAGAATTGATTTTAAAGGTTAAATTCACAACTTAGTGGTTGTTAAACGACCCAAGGCGGTTTAAAAGCCAATGAGCTCATCTTTTTTCCCGGTTTTCGTCACTGGCTGGCCACCTTTTTTCATAAAAAATCAAATATTCCAAACTCCATGTTAAGCATTACGAGGAGACTACAAATGATTTCAAAACATGTTGCAAATGATTTTATTATAAAATCAATAAATTCTCATTGGGTAAAGGCTGCGGATTATAACTTCAGGTTCTTTCAATTGGGAAATTTCAATCGAGCACTAATACATTACAAAAGAGTACAAAAGCATAAAAATATTCTTGCAGAACTCTGATAAACCATACAGAGTGAATACCTAATGTTGTTTACCCATACGCACTGCACCGAACAAAATTAGGGACAATTTGGTTTCCATGGCAGCATTTGAAGCCAGATCGGATGTAAAAGTCACGGCCACATCTATGACAGGTTGATCGCAGGGGAGCCACGACGTATCCTCGGCAACACCGTTGAAACGAAGGATTGAAAACGTTGCTTCCACAAAATCGATGTTGATAGGGATTTGGACACATCAGGAATTTGGGATAAATTTGTCCACTGCAGCATTTTTGCTTTCGTGGATTGAAATTGAGGCCGCCACACTTAAACGGTATACAGGGTGAACGTAGAGAAAGCACTTGGCCGTTACAGCATTGCTGGTGTTGCGAATCGTAGAAGGTGTGTCCACAAGGAGTCCAAGACGAACAAGGGGAATGTAGAGACACTACTCGTTTAAAACAACACTTGTATCTGTGTGGATTAAAAAGGACACTACCACATCTGGTCTTTACAGGAAATGGAACACAAGTCTGTCCCTTAGGGATCACTTTACCATTGCAGCATTGATGGGAGAAAGTCATGTACCTCGTTCGTCCACAGCGCTTTCGTGTACAACTCTCTCGTCTGGGAATAACTTGCCGACGGCAACATTTCTCATATCTACGATTAAATAAATTGCGACCGCATTTGCCCATGCGTCGACCACACTGGCCTTTAAGCACAATAACCCCGCGGCAACAGATTTTTACCAACGGCTTATCGATTAACATTCCGGCACAACATAACGGGCTGTTGCGCATGCGGTAAGGACAGACACGATTGGTAATATAAGGTCTTGGGCGAAATCCTTGTCTCTTCTCAATATTAAAGCCATTATTTTGATCTATGGATGAAAATGAGAACACCAAATTAATTCAACTGATAATATTCAGTTGTTTCATCTGCAAACAGAAACTTTTTTTTTAAGCACTAATAAAGTCTTGTTTGTTCTTGTTTTGTTTAGCTGTGATTTGTGAGTGCTTTATAACAAATCCAATGTGCTAGAAACTGCCAAGCAATGTCAGGTCTAAAGATTTAACAGCTTTTTCCTCTTTCTTCATTAAAGAATCCAAGATTTGTAGTTGATCTATCTATTGAAATGATGTATGCTCTCTACTTGTCAGACTCTGTTTTATGTTAACTAAATCTCACCCCTCTGAAAATTTTTTCTTGTTAAACTAGCCTGCTAGCACTTTTAGATTTCGACAATCATGCAGGGTTTCAAGCCGATATTACAATGATCAGCAATCATTAATACTCGTCTTTTCAGAGATTATAGTAAGTTTACACGTGCACCTGGACCACTTAACCCTTCCCCGCAGGTTAAAAATATTAAATAAAATTTTTCTTGATTTCAGTTGCCTCGGGAATTTGGTGCTAAATTAAACAATATCCTTTAATCTATATTTTTTCTTTCTTCTCGTTACCTTTCTACTTGAAAATGTATTAATGAAGTAAGGAGAAATTATTCTTAAGTCGCTACACGAATCACCAGGACTGCTTAACCTCTCCACTCCCCGCAAGATCAAAATATCAAATCTCTGAATCTCTGTCTCATAAGTTTCTCTTGATTTCCGTTGCCTCGGGAATTTGGTGCTGAATCAAACAATAATCTTTAATTTATATATTTTTTTCTTCTCATCACTTTTCTGCTCGAAAATGTATTCATGAAGTAAGAAGAAATTCCTCTTTAGTCCCTTGGGAATCAACTGGTTAAAGAAAGCAAGTCCTAAACTCCTCACCTTGTAACAATTCCAATGAGTTAGAATCCTCTGACTTTGTGGTAGTACTCATCTGCTCTAACTCACTTTCGAGGGAAACGCTTTCTTCATTAGCGCGAACAACTGTCAGCGAGGATAAAACAATAAGGAGCGCCAACGACAACAGATCAAAACGTGCCATCATTTTCCTCTGCTGCCTTGCGCTGTGATTTGTTTCATTTCTTGAGATATGCTCCCGCTTTTATACGGTTTTAGGCTCTGCCGGTGGTTTTACATAATATTTAGGTGCGCGGAAAGCAAAAGGCAGAACTATGCACTTGAAGGTAATTTTAGTTCGAGTGTTGATGTAAGACTCCTTTAAGTCAATTTTGATTAATCGTTTCCACAATATTTCAAGTGGTTGCGTCATCTAAGCAATATCAGATAAACCTTCCTCTTACTAAACCTCTGAGTCTTCAGTGTACATGGATAGATGTCATTAATGGTGTGATGCAAACATTTCAGCTGGTTAATCCAGTGAGAGCAATTTAAATTGATCTCAAACAGTGAAGTTAATAGGAATTAAGTACAAAAGTTTATATTATATGTTTATTAGTAACAAGAAATCAATTGATTATGAGTGCAATTTGGAACACATCACAAATTGCATCTGCACCTGGGGAATTGACGCTATTTAAGATGGTAAAGACATCGGTTCTCTCGCAAAATAAAACTAAGTTCATCATTTTAATAAAAGTTTTTGTCGGCGACGCAGTCGTGGCTGTGTAATGCCATTATTATAATTACCTAGACAAATATTTTCCTTTTCTAACTGCAAAACCAAAAAAAAACAAAAATAAATTGACAATATATTTATTTCTAAAATAGAAAAAATATTTAATATAAGCAAGGTCTTGACGTAAATCATATCGAGTGAGTTATGTTACATGTGTATAGACTATGTTTTTTTAATTGCTTCATCAGTTGTATATTTGTCCAAGGTTAGGAGCCAATCACAACTATTCTTTCCATTTGTTTGCATCTTAATTAACATGGATTATATTGAAGCACTACTTTATTTCACAATTTTTTTTCTCTTTTAGAATATGATCAATATCTTATAATATTCTTCACCGTTTAGGTTGAGCAATTTCCACTTTAGTTCGGTCGTGTGTGCAAGGCTGTCAAGGAGCGCGCTAAAATAAGCTTCGCATGTGAGATGCCGTCAGGAAAACCAAAGCATTCATAACTATAGTGTACATTTTGATCAAACGTCGTAAAAGCGTAATAAAAGTTATTGCAGCAAAAGGTTACCACATGAGCCAATAAGAAATAAAAATTTTGGAATTTCCCTAAGTTTTTGAAATGTCAACGAACGTGGTCTGATTGTTTAACCAATCACGTTAAGAGACCTTGACTATGACGTTGAAATGGACACATTCATTAACACTCGTCTGCTGAGTTGAGTTGAGTTTTGAGTTTTGAGTTTTTTTTCCCCTTAAATTTTCAAGTGTTTTTTTTAGTATAGGAATATTCGAAGGCTTTCCTTACAACCACATGTATCTACTTTGATGTATTAATAATACTTTTATTTACGGAAACTGGACTTTAGTCTCTATACTGTAAAAGGACATTTTACAGGAAGTAAAGAAAAATACACAAATACAAGAACGTAAATACTTAACCCAAAAGTTTTCTTGATTTTCTATCTTATTAGAACAGGTGAGAATAAGGTGGTTGGTTTCATCTGAAAAAACTTGAAAAAAGAAAGACATTTGCTGCGGTCAGTTTCCTTTTCCAGATCCAATATGCTGGCTGTAATATTCAGCGTTTTACGTTCCCTGGAAAGCGGAAGTGGATAGCAACTGGCTTTCAGCATGGCGATATTTTGGTTTCGGGTGTTTCAGAAGATTGAAATAATTGCGATATTGCGATACACAATATCGTTCTCCTGACCCTGCCGTGTACCAAGAAAATCGATCGGATCATGAACTTGGAGGATTTTAGGCATAATCTTTGTTCCATAACAAAAATTTTATTTTCGGCAGGAAAAAATTTCGGCTGAGTAAAACGTCTTTACATGACAAATAGAAAAAAAACCGCATGCAAATAAAGTAAGTAAATATCTACCAATCGTCGACAATGTAAGTCTCCTCTGTATTACTCGACGAGTTATATATTTTAAGAAAATATCAGATTTCTTTCCACGTTCGAGTTCCTCTGCTCGAACAGAACAATCGCAAAGATAAGTTACCGGCAGATATTTCAATCTTGAACTTCCTGCAGCAAAAAAGGAGGAGGTTAAACAAGAAGAAGAGGAAGAAGAATAGAAGAAAAAAACTTTCCATAAGAATTCGAAATCGTGACGGGATCGGATCACGGCAGGATTGCTTTGGGACATCGGTGGCTGTCTCCTCTAAAGTTCACTTTACTTAGGTAACCCACTGGAATAATTTTTTTTAATTGAGAGTCCAAAGTTATACGGAAATACATTAGTTTTGCTACTGAACTATAGGATCCGTCCCTAGAAAGCTCGCACCACCCTCTCTGAGACTCTAAAATTGATAAAACATCAAAAGAAATACAAAAATCAATCTCAATTTGGTCACTCGCGTTTTCAAACTCCGGGTCTGGTTTAATTATTTGCTGTGTTGAGTTATGATTTATCCTCAGATCCATGATGATATTTCTCGTTGAGGTTATTTTTGTTCTGATTCCAGGATACCCGCTTACTGTTGCTTCATCTATTGTAAAGTCGACAAGTGTTAGAGGTAAAATTCTAACACTCGTTGTTTTGTTGTCTCTTTCGCTATTCACTCTTATTAAACAAGTTAATACAACGGGGACCAGCTCAAAATCTCTCAAGGAAAGTATGGGTCACCGCTTATAAAGGTGACGCTTACTGAGCTGTCAATCTCTAACCTTCGTCATGCTTTATACTTAACTAGCGAGTTACGCTAAACTACGCAGAGCGGAGTTCGCAGACTAAATAGATACCTTCGCAATGTTTACGCTTTACAAAATGACTTTCTACCTTAAATTTCTTAGTCTTACGGTTAAGTTAGGGAAAAACAAATTCAAGATTGTCTACATAAAATTTATGATAAACTTACTAACAGAATTAAAATCGAAGTTGAGGAGATATTCCAAGAGAAAATAGTCCTCGAAGACTGATACATAACAGCAGAATAAACAAAAACTTCGGAGGAGAAGGGGCGAACCCAGGGTACCGCCTCTAAGAGAGCTCTCCGTATAATACATATGATTATCAATTCAGTAAGGAAGATGAAGGGTACTACGTGTTTACACCTTAAGACACCTAAGAAAAAGGGGTATCGAACGTGCTAAATTAAATTTAAGAGCTATTCTTCTGATCGGGAATTCGACATGGATTTAGCCTAAAAAACGAGAATATTGAAGAGGTTAAAGTATGGGGAGGCTTATTTCCAGGAAATTCCGGTACGGGATCAATTTTTATAAGGTAACATCATTTTCTTAATAATTAAACATCTTTTGGCATCTTTTTCTCCATGTCAAATTCATGATCACAATAAGGAAAAGGTGACGAAAACTCTAGCTGTAAGATAAGACCCCCAAAAGGAATAAGAAATGATCAACTGGCTTATTATAATGTTTACTGAATGGCTTATGCTAATATATTTTTTCCATACATTTTCCAACACCAGTATAGGAAACCCTTACAATGTTTTTAGGTTAAATACATTTCTATTTTTATCGTCTAACACAGCATTTTGGTTTTTTATCATATATAAATAATAGCTTTCACAGCACGCCTGTACTGTCTGGTTGAATGGCGTCAAATCACACGTAGGTTGGACATCTTGACAGTCTACGCCTTGGGAACCATAGCAGCACCTTTCGCGGTTGACATCAAACCAGAAACGACCACACCCATAATGCGGGTGGCAGAAAGATGGCATGACATGTTTAATTACGATGAGTCCAGCACAGCATGTCTGTAGTATCTTGTCGTCTATGAATTTTCCTGAGCAACAACGGGTTCTAAGGTATTCATGATCTATGTGCTCGCAAGGAGGCCTTGTTTTGAAAAACCGGTAGTGTGTGGACCACCTCCGGCTCGTCCGAGACCTGAAGTGAGATCTTTTCACTCCAGTAACTTTTTCTGCAATAAATAAAGCGAAATATTTTTACTTGTTCTATATTGCTAGTGAAGTGATCAGATGGTTAGAGCATAGCGCAATCTCAATAGTTTCGGAGGAAATCAAGGATTGGTTTGGTTTTTTTTCTTGTGCCCTGTAATTGGCACCACAGTCTCATTGTTTCCTCGAGATATTTTCTTTTGCTCTTCTTACTGGACTTTGCTCTGAAAAACGCTCTGTATTGGATTTCAGAAAAAGTGGTCCTCCTCATAGAACGAGCTCACTCCTCTGGCCGGGGCTCTCATGCCCCAGGGAAGGGATTTTACCTAATTCTCTTTTAAGATTTTGTCGCCCTGAGGTTGTACTCATCGTTTTCGGAATCATTCGAAATATCTACCAATAGTCAACAATGTAAGTCTGTAAGTGATATATATTTTGAGAAATATCACATTTCTTTCCACGTTCAAGTTCCTCTGCTCGAACAGAACAATCGCAAAAATAAGTTCCCGGCAGAGATTTCAATCTTGAACTTCTTGCCGCAGAAAAGGAAGTAGTTAAAGAAGAAGAAGAAGAAAAGTAGAAGAAAGAAACTTTCCATAAGAATTCGAAATCGGGGCGGGATCGGATCGCCGCTGGATTGCCGGTTGGGACAATGGCGGCTGTCTCCTCTAAAGTTCACTTTACTTAGGTAACCCACTGGAATAATTTTTTTAATTGTAAGTCCAAAGTGATACCGGAATACATGAGTTTTGCTACCGAACTATAGGATCCGTCCTTAGAAAGCTCACACCACCCTCTCTAAGACTCTAAAATTAATAAAACATCAAAAGAAATACAAAAATCAATCTCAATTTGGTCACTCGCGTTTTCTAACTCCGGGTCTGGTTTACTTATTTGCTGTGTTGAGTTTAGATTTGTCCCTAGATCCATGATGATATTTCTCGTTGAGGTAATTTTTGTTCTGATTCTAGGATACTCGCTCACTGGTGCTTTATCTATTGTAAAGTCGACAGGTTCTCCCTCTGGAGATCACACGGCCGTAACAGCATTTCTGGTTTTTTATCACATACAAATATCGGCCTCTACAGCACGCCTGAACTGTCTGGTTGAATGGTGTCAAACCACACGTTGGTTGGATATCTTGACAGTCCACGCCTTTGGAACGATAGCAGCACTTTTGGCGGTTGCTATCAAACCAGAAACGACCACACCCATAATGCGTGTGACAGAAAGATGGCACCATATTTTTATATACGATGCGTCCAGCACAGCATGTCTGTAATAAAATGTTGTCCATGAATTTTCCTGAGCAACAACGGGTTCTAAAGTGTTCATGATCTTCGTGCTCGCAATGAGGCCTTGTTTTGAAATACCGGTTGTTTGTGGACCTCCTCCGGCTCGTCCAAGACCAGAAGTGAGATCTTTTCACTCTAGTAACTTTTTCTGCAATAATTAAAGCAAAATGATATTACTTGTTCTACTTTGTTAGTGAAGTGATCAAATGGTTAGAGCATAGCGCAATCTCAATAGTTTCGGAAGAAATCAAGGATTGGCTTGGTTTTGCTACAATATGCTCTTTAATTGGCGCCACAGTCTCATTGTTTCCTCGCGATATTTTCTTTTGCTCTTCTTGCCGGACTCTGCTCTGAAAAACGCTCTGTATTGGATTCCAGAACAAGTGGTCTTCCTTGTAGAACGAGTTCACTCTTCTGGCCGCGGCTCTCATGCCCCGGGGCACGGATTCTACCCAAAATTCTCTTTTAAGATTTTGTCGCCCTAAGGTTGTATTCGACGTTAAATAGTTTCAACAGGTTGCTATTCAATGTCACAATAAACATAGCAGGATTTCTTTTTTTATTTTAAGGTCGATTAACTCTAAAATATGTGAACAATCCACTTATTAACTATGTTGAGTGAAGTCAAAGTTAAGGACTTAACGGCGCCGCAGCTAATATTTCGATTTATGTTTTACAAAAAGGCAGACAAAAAATGATTTAAAAGAAGCAAAGTTACTCCGTTAAATCTTGAAAACATATGCCCATTAGGGCAGGCGAAGATAAGTATTCCGTGTATACTTTACATGTGTATCGGCAAGTTGAGATATAAATTGTTTGTGTACCGCTGAGAAAAAGTCGAAAATTTGTAACCGTTTACCTTTAGTGTCTTCCGCTGAAATATCATCAAAAAGCTCGTCTTCTTCTGTCCCTGGCTCTGCATGTCTTTTTACCAAGTTTTCCTGAGGCGAATTGTTCTCACCGTCCGCTTTTAAATTTGACACAAGGATAGAAAAAATAGCGAGGAACACCAAAATGCCGTAACGTAAGCGAGTCATGTTTACCGCTAATCACAGACTGTGGCTTACAAACCTCTCAACTTTATATTGACCTAGCGTAACCAAGTTTCGGTCATCGAACTCATCCGAATGCAACCGGGACTTAATGAAATCAAGAAGTGTTATGATTTGTTGTAAACTAATTTACATCGAAATCGAACGACTTCTTACATGTGAGTCTGATAACAGAACAACACGGATTCATTTGAGAAAAATCCAACTCTGTTTATTGGAGAGTGCTTGACTGAGTTTGTTTTCGAAGTCTGGTGGCGTCAAAATATGTATGAAGCCGATCTTTTGTAAGAACTAATCAGGAATAGAAAGAGCTAAAACCAAATTTATAGCTCAAGTCGGAACAAAAGTCAATCCCATAATTCAATAAATTGTTTGATCTCAGTATGGTTAATCGTGTGTTGATTCAGTCTTCCTTCTGTTTCAACGCAATCTACCGGTGCGATGCGAGTCTACTTGTGTCTCGAAAATTATCAGCAAAATCAGGATTTCATTTACGCAAAAGAAACCTTGGATGACCGCTGATACTGGCTTAAAGGATTGCACGTGATCACAGAAAATGAGCGGGAAAATGCAAAGCTGATTGCCGCACAACTTTGATGGTTTCTTTGTTTGTGAGACTTGTTAAACGGACTCGATGCGAATCGAGGGGTATTTGGGAAAAGCAAGAAGCCTAATATCGTGGAAATTACCTTGGTGAGTTATTTCTTAGTGATAAGCAATACTTTGAAGAGCTTACACTTTCTTTTTTTTCCGAGAAAAACAAGAAGCAAACTGTGCGGCTGAAAGCCATAAACAAAATGGCGGTCGCCGTCGGCATAGCAATCTATCAAATGATTCAAGCTTTTTTTAGAGGGGACTGACGACACAACAAGGACATGACAAACGAAAGAAAGGAGGATGAAAATAGCTTTCAACTTTTGAAGTAGTAACTAAGTAAAAAATTCCGGCAGCTGTGGTAATGTGTAAAGACCATACAACAATGAATCAAAAATACAATTTTCACACTACGCCACACACAGACCAAATGTAAAAGGAACCTTGGAAATCAGAAGACTTCTTTGTGCTGGTTTTTTTTTTTTTTTTAGCTTAGAAATAGTTAACTTGAATGAGCCTGTTAATCATGATTGTAATTCTAAACACGGGTTTGTTCGTATATAGCCGATGATTTATGTGACTGTAAGTAAATTGATATAGCTATCATTGCAGAAGTACAAATAAGAATTCAAACGCAGAGAGAATCATGGACAATTTTGTAGGGGCATACCTACACTCCCAGCCACATTCGCTGTGACATTTACTGCTTCTCCCTAACCCTCTCAGTGTGGGTAATCACGTTTACATCAACACCTTGGCAATTAACAACATTGGAAGGGGAAGAGGGGCAAAAGAAGATAGTACTACCAACTAATTATGTTTTGGAGTGTATAATTTTTTTCCAAGAGGGGGTCACACTGTGACATATTCAGAGTACCTACTTAGTTGTTAACATCCATGCTGTTTTTCACTTAAAGTGACAATTTATGTGTTGTATGTTGCTGACTTTAAAAAGTTAATCTTAAGAAGAGGAAGTCATGGACACCTCAGTAGCTTCCCTCTCCCTCTCCCAAGCTAGCCCTCAAATATGTGTTCAATAATGATTGGGTCTTGTTGTAATTTTTTGCACCAAATCATTACATGAATTGCTGTGATGTAAGGAAGACAACCTCATCATTACATCAGTATCAAATATGGTTTCTGTCGGTAAACATTTCTATATAAAAGGAACCTAAGCCTTGCTAACTATCAGATTTTATTTCTTCTTCATAAAAACCATAATTAATTTATTATTAGAAATTAACAGGCAGTGACTGTGAAGGTGGAAATTTTCAGGTATCTATTTTTTTTATGTTAACCTATACGAAAACTAACCAAATTATGTCGTCCACCTGTTTTCCTCCCTCTGTCCTTCTGTTCTATCTCAGAAGATAAAACAGAGGTCATAAAACTCCACGCAAATCATTTGTGAGGTCTGACAAACACATTGTGTAAAAACTGATTTTTCCACTTTTTATATCATGTTTCAGTTCAAAGGCCCTCTTTGTTAACCTTGAAAAAGTTACGAGGGAGTCAATCCACATCGACATCTTGAATGACAAAGTATTCTCACGATAATTTTCGGTTATGCAATTCCTTTGAATAATTAGTAGAAAAGCGCCATCTTTTCTGTAATTCCTTATACATCCGGCCGAGCACTGTCAGTAAAGAAAAACCAGTACCATACAACCTCTATACACAGTTTCCCAGCTCAATTACCTGATATAAAACATCTTTGATGCAATTTTAGAGACTATACGGTAACCAATGTCTCATCGGTTTTAATGACTTCTCATTATGCGAGATTTTTCGAAACGAAAGCTGAGTGTAGGATAAAACTCTCAGTCATAACTTAATAGTCATAGAGGGGAATGACGATCGATTATCGAAAAAGGCGACTTATTGACAGACCTGTTTGACGTCAGTTTCATTTCCCATACGCATGGATATGTTTTCTACTCTTCTGGGGACTGAGAGCGTTTTTTTACGGCTCTCTGTCGAGGTAATTTTTTTGTTAGCGGTAAAAGTCATTTGTTGATAACATCTTCAACTGCAGAGTAAAAAAGTGAATTTTATTTTTCTTTTCTTATAAGTTTTACAATGTTAAGTTACCATCAGCACATCTGATAAGACACATCTGACTAGTTTAAGCTTGACGTTACTTCTAAAGAACCTTGCAGGAAAATATCCTTTAGCTTAGTAATGTGCTAGCTAACTAGCAAACAGCATACAGTGATACTACTTTACCATAGCAACACTTCTGTGTCAAGGGATTGTAAGTCACGCGGTCGCATCTTGCCGTGCAGCTGAAGCTTTTGGACACTACTCTGTTATGGCAGCACTTCTGTGTCCATGGATTATAACTCACCACTCCACATTTCGCCGGGCAACTGAAACTTGTGGACACTACTTTACCGTAGCAGCACTTCTGAGTCCATGGATTATAGCTGACGAGGCCACATTTGGCTGGGCAAGTGAGGCTCTTGAGAACCACTCTGTTGTAGCAACACTTGTGGGTCCATGGATTATAGCTTGCCACCCCACATTTAGCCGGGCAACTGAAACTTTTGGACGCTACTCTACCATAGCAGCACTTCTGGGTCCATGGATTGTAGCTTGTAAGGCCAC